AGTTGACATCACTATCCATTGTGCTATCCTTTGTGATAAAACAACCTGGTGCAAGACACACCATCTTTCATGCATTCAGTGATATTCTCTCAATAAACAAAAGTATTTCATCCGGCATTGAAGTCACTGGTGTGTCAAGAACAAGAAGACAACTCCACTAAGGATCAGTTTCTAATGAGTTTATGTACATCCGTAGTTGAGTTGTAATCTTGTTATTTGTTCGCCATTGTAATTCTTAGTTTGCTTTCTTAGAAGCGCTGTCTTAGGAACAAACCAAATTCGTAAACTTCTGAGTTTATGTTGTGACTAGGGATAATCATAAGTTTAAATCCTTTGAAACTAGGAGAGTTATAGTGTGGCTTGTGGTGGTTGCATCACAAGTTAGTTTGAAGTCTTTGCAATAGGGTTTTTGCAAAGTGGCTTGTAATAGGTAGATTACAAGTTAGTAGAGTTAAAAACCTACAAGAGTAGGTCGTGGTTTTTTGATCCGCTTGTGTGGGATTTTTCCACGTAGAAAATCTCTTGCCTTCTTTACATTCAGTCTTTACTGCATTCTACGTATCATCTCATAGAGGACCGGGTACTCTATAGTTTGGTGGACTCACATAAACTAACAAACATATTCAGTAACAATGAGAATATTCAGAATAACTGTAATCGTCTAAAATAAATATTGTAATATCATATCGAGTAAAGGACTTGTCCAACATGTAAATTCAAAATAGTAGGTAACATGTTCATACTAAAATCATATGTAAATCATGCTAGTTGTAGAAATACAAATTGAGGTAAGGTTACTACTCACAGTACTCGTGCCGAAATACCAAATGCTTCACCCGAGCAATTCGTACAAATTCCTCCAATCAATCTATAATTACATAATATCGATCTCATGTTAATTTCCTTGTTCAGGCTAATTCATAGCTAATTTAGAATACCCAACCCTCAAGGTTTCATATTTGACTCTTAATTCGCCGAATTATATTTACCCACCTATGAGTAATTACTAATCTATCATCTCCAACATATTCATATATCTTATTAATCCAATTTCATAAAGATCTATTGATTCTTTTGGAAGAAAATTCTCAATTGCGTGAATGAACTAGTGTAATTTCTATTACTCTGTAGAATCTTCCAATCATGAGAATCGAAATTAAAATCTACCAGAAGGAGAATCTCAAGCAATACCCGTAAGACACAAGTCGTGCTTAAGATTCCTCAGCAGATTGCCAAAGATTAACAAAAATGTATACATATCTTTCCTTGTTTCACTGACTTTTGCCAATCTCCTTATTTAACTCTAACCATAAAAATATATTATCAAATTTGTGGAATACAGTACTTGAAGATTTGAACAAATAATGATCCCACGAGGGGCAGAGGACGAGGCCGAGGCCGTGCTAGAGACTGAGGCAGGGGCAGGGCTCATCCCAGAGCTCGAGTTGAGCACCGCATTTCATCCTCCAACAGACGGGCAATCCGAGCGTACTATTCAGATTTTGGAGGATATGCTTCGCGCCTGTGTTATTGACTTTGGAGGCTCTTGGTATCAGTTCTTGCCATTAGCGGAGTTTGCCTACAACAACATCTATCAGTCGAGCATCCAGATGGCTCCCTATGAGGCATTATATGGTAGACGATGTCGATGGCCGGTTGGGTGGTTTAAGCCGGGGGAGGCTCGGTTGCTGGGTACAGATTTAGTACAGGATGCCTTGGACAAGGTTAAGATCATTCAGGATAGGCTTCGTACAGCTCAACCCAGGTACAAGAGTTATGCCGACGTAAGGTTCGTGATGTGGCATTCATGGTCGGAGAGCGAGTGTTTCTTCGAGTGTCGCCCATGAAGGGCGTGATGAGATTTGGAAAGAAGGGAAAGCTAAGCCCTAGGTTCATCGGGCCTTTCGAGATCCTTGATCGAGTGGGAGAAGTTGCTTACAGACTTGCGTTGCCGCCGGGTCTATCAGCAGTGCATCCAGTGTTTCATGTGTCCATGCTTTGGAAGTATCACGGCGATCCATCCCACGTGTTAGACTTCAGCACTGTCTAGTTGGACAAAGATTTGACCTATGAGGAGCAGCTGGTAGCCATTCTAGACCGGCAGGTTCGACAGTTGAGATCGAAGAGTTACCCTTCAAATCGTGTACAGTAGAGAGGTCAGCCTGTTGAGGAAGCTACCTGGGAGTCCGAGTCCGATATGCGGAGCCGATATCCCCATATTTTTGCCGACTCGGGCAATTTGATCGCACGAGCAAGTCCGTATGATGTTTTTAGACTTGTATGCATGTTTGGTTTAGAGCCCCGAGGGCTCGGATGAGTTTTAGATAGGCTTCAGAGTGTTTTAGACTTGGTAAAAATGTTGCAGGTTTCAGTTCTGTCGCAGAGCCTCTGATCTCACAATTGCGAGACAAGCCTCGCATTTGCGACCACTGTTGGGTTCGCATTTGCGACCTACTCATCGCAATTGCAAAGAGTAGCTGTGGAGGCCAGTGTTCGCATTTGCGAACAGTTCTTCGCATTTGCGAAGAAGTCAGGGCAGGAGATTATCGCATTTGCGACCAAATGGTCGCATTTACAAAGGCAGCAGAAAATGTGAGGTTTTCGCATTTGCGCAAATGCAAAGCTCCAGTCACAATTGCGACATCTGCAGCTGTTAAGTTGGAACTTAGACGGGATTTTGAACTCATTTCTCAAATTTTCGAACCCTAAACCACCCTAGGTGATATTTCAAAGACCCAAACTACTCCAAATCATAGGTAAGTGATTTCTAACTCATTCTCTTCAATCTATTTCATCTATTTACATGATTTCATCTCAAAATCTAGGGTTTTCATGAGAATTTGGGTGTTCTTGGATAGAATTTAGGAATTTCGAATTTGGGGGATTTGGACCTCAATTTGAGGTCGGATTCTGAAACCAATTTTATATCCGGGCTCGGGGGTGAATGGGTAATCGGGTTTTGATCCGAACTTCGAGTTTTGACCAAGCGGGCCTGGGTCAATTTTTGGCTTTTTGGGAAAAATGTTGGGAATTCTTTAATTATGCATTGAAATTGGTTTATTTAGCGTTTATTGATGTTATTAAGTTAATTATGGCTAGCTACGAGTGAATTGGTGGTGGAATCGAGAGGTAAAGCGGTGGTTGAGCTTTGAAATACCCGTTGGCTTGAGGTAAGTGTTTGGTCTAACCTTGACTTGAGGGACTAGGGATCCCCGACTTGCTTGCTATGTGAGATATCATGTGTGTGGCGTATAGGTGTGGTGACGAGTACCTATGCGTCACCAAATTACTTGTTTAGCCCGTTTCTTTTCCCCGTTTCCCTATATCTTGCTCCCTGCCTTAACTGCTACTTGCTCATAAATGTTTCCATGTCTAATTGCTTCATATTAACTGTTGTTCTCCTTATTGAATTATTTAATTGTTTCATGTTATCTGTTTATGTTCCCATTGAAGTATTATTTTTTTCGTAGCTTCATTTTATTACCCTGTTGGTTTATATTGATTTATTGGTTCCTTATGGTGCACCTTGGTTGGTCTCGCTGAGTAGTTGTCACTGGTGAAGTTTCATAATCGTAGCGATATTCTATTGTGTGAACTGAGGTATAAGTATATGGGGGATTTGAGTTAGCTTGTGAAACACTTGTCTTTATTCTTTTATGTTTGGTGCTGATATATATATTGGGATCGGGTTGCACGCCGCAACAGGAGGAACAAGGGTGAAATGTGATTGTCTGGTGGGATCGGGTTGCACGCCGCAACAAGGAGTAATAAGGGTGGACAGGTGGGATGGGGTTGCGCTCCACAACAGGAGGAATAAGGGTAATATGTGTTGAGGAGTAATAAGGGTGATATGTGTTGAGGAGTAATAAGGGTGGACATGTGGGATCGGGTTGCACGCCGCAACAAGGAGGAATAAGGGTGAATATTGATACCGTTGTTGTTTATATGTTGGGATCGGGATATGCGCCGCATCAGTTGTTATTATGTTTTCATTTCTGTTAAGGCCCATTACTATGATGTTGAAACACCCTTAAGGATTGGTTATAGCTGAATACTAGTAGAACAACTGGGTTTCGGATTTATTTTATGCTAGTTATTGCTTATTTTACATTCTCTATTTCCTTTCTGTTTAGTATAAACTGTTGCAGGTTGTGTATGTTGTATGCCCTGCCGTAGCCTCATCACTACTTCGTCGAGGTTAGGCTCGGCACTTACCAGTACATGGGGTCGGTTGTACTAATACCGCACTCTGCACTTTCTGCAAATTTTGGAGCTAGTCGATGATCGTGAGGTTGGTTGCTATCACTGCTTCCCGGAGACCCAAGGTAGTCCTGCAGGCGTCCGCAGGCCCTGACGTCCCCTTCTATCCTACTTCATTTCTGTTTTATCTACTTTCGAGACAGGTGTAAACCTTTTGTTCAGACCATTATTCGTAACATTCGTAGACTATTCGTGAGTTGTGACACTAGTTCTGGGTGGAATTTATTACGGTTTTGTTATTAGTATAAAGATAATCTTTTAAATTGTGTTCTTCCGCATTTATTTTTCGTTGATTTACTTTTGTTAATTTAATTGTTAATAGATAAAGGAAAAAGGTGAAATAGTCTGTAATGTTGGCTTGCCTAGCGAGCCACTACGGTCCCGACGGTGGGAAATTCGGTACGCTGGAAGTGGCTTCTTTTGCGGCACCAAGCTTTTTCCCCAACTCACCTTCTATATTTTTTTGGTTTTTCCCTTAACCCTTGACCCGTCAAAATCCCTTTTTTCTTCTGGCTTGGTTTTACACAACAAAATTTGATTTTTGGCCAGTGAAAGGGGCTTCGGCCTTTTTCCTTTTTGTTTCTGTTAGCTAGCGTAGGGCTTTGCCCTATTTCATCTTATTTTGTAATTTTTTGTTGTTGGTAAATTACTTAATTACCCTTTTTTTTGTAATAAGTATTACATTCTTCTCACCTTATGAAATTCGGTCTCCGAATTTAGCTTAGGTACATACCTGTAGACTAAAATAAATGAGGATACTTGACTCGCATAGCATCTTCTATTTCCCATGTAGCTTCTTCAACAGTATGATTTCTCCATAAGACTTTAACGAACATAATTTCTTTTGACCGTAGCTTCCTTACTTGCCTGTCAACAATTGCTATCGGCTCCTCCTCGTGAGACAACTTCTCATCAATCGGTATAGTAGGTACTTCAGGCACCTGAGATGAGTCTAATATACATTTTCTTAGCATTGAGATGTGAAAGACTGGATGAATAAAAGACGACTCAATAGGAAGTTCAAAACGATAAGCCACAACTCCCACTCGGTATAGTATCTCATACGGTCCTATAAACCTGGGGCTCAACTTGCCTCTTTTCCAAAACCGCATCACACCTTTCATAAGGGAGACTCATAGGAACACTTTGTCCCCAACTGTGAACACTAAATCTCTTCTTCTCTTATCAGCATAAGACTTTTGTCTACTTTGAGCCGTAAGCAATCTCTGTCTGATCAACTGGACCTTGTCCATAGCTTCTTGTACTAGGTCGGGTCCTAATAAGTTAGTCTCACCAGCTTCAAACCATCCGATAGGAGAACGACATCTTCTACAATATAATGCTTCGTACGGTGCCATTTAACACTGGACTGGAAGCTATTGTTGTAAGCAAATTCAGCTAAAGGTAGATAAGCATCCCAACTACCTCTTGCAACGACCCGACCGGTCGTTTTGAGCTCTAGCACGTCGTTCAATGGTTTGAGGCCCTGAGTAGCTTCACTTCAGGTATTATGACTGGTATGTGTGGTCGAAATTGAATTTTGGGAAATTTAGAGTCGATTTGGAAAGAGAATTCTCATATCGAAAGCCTTGAGTTGGAAGAACTAACTAAGAATGGATTTTTGAGTAAACAACCTCGGAATCAGGATCCAAAAGTTCCAGCAGGTTTGTGTGATAATTTCGGACTTAGGCGTATGTCCGGGTCGGGCTTTCGAAGACCCGGGAACGTTTCAACACCTATTGTAGAAGTTAGCATTTTTGGAAGAATTTCATAAGTTTGGGTTGAAGTGCATTTTAGTGTTATCAATATCCGTTTGGGATTCCGAGTCTGGGAGTATCTCCGTATGGTGATTCTAGTGTTGGGAGCATGATCGGAAGTGAATTCGGAGGTCCGTGAGTTATTTTGGAGTCATTTGGCTAAAGATAGAGATTTGAAGGTTTTTGAGAAGTTTGACCGAGAGTTGACTTTTTGATATCGGGGTCATAATCCGATTCCAGAAGTTGGAGTAGGTCCGTAATGTCAAATATGACTTGTGTGCAAAATTTGAGGTCAATCGGACGTGATTTGATATGTTTTGGCATCGAATGTAGAAGTTTGAAATTTCTAATGTTCATTAAACTTGGATTGGAGGTCGATTCATGATTTTAGCGTTGTTTGATATGACTTGAGGCCTCGAGCAAGTCCGTAATGTGTTTTGGGACTGGTTGATGTGATTGGACGGGGTCCTGGGGGCCTCGGGTGTGTTTCGGGGTGGTTTCGGATCGAATTTGGATAAAAAGCTGTTGCTGATTGCTGGTATCTGGTTTCCTTCTTCGCGAACGCGAAGGGAGTCCCGCGTTCGCGAAGAGGAAAGTGGGAGGCTGCTGGATTTGGCCTTCGCGAACGCGGAGAGGAAATCGCAAATGCAAAGGGGTGGGCTGAGTTGACTACGTGAACGCGTATGGGAGATCGCAAATGCGGAGAAGGAAAGAGGGGAGCGGGGCCTGAGGCCGTTGGCCTACGCGAACGCGAGGCCTGGAACGCGAGCGCGTAGGGTCCGGGGAACTGGTCTTCGCGAACGTGAGCGTCGGGTCGCCGAACGCGATGAAGAAATTTTGGGGCTGAAGCAGGTTGTGCTTCGCGAATGCGAGGGCATTTTCGCGTTCGCGAAGAAGGGCAGTGCTGGCAGTGAGTTGTTTTAAGACAGGCTTTGGCCCATTTCTTTCATTTTTCTCTTGGCTTGGGCGATTCTTGGAGGAATTCAAGAGGGGGTTTCATCATTCAATGGCAAGGTAAGTTTTCCCCACTTATTAGGAGTTAAATACATTGATTATGTATGAATTTTAACATGGAAATTAGTGGAAATTTGGGGTTTTGAGGAAGACCTAGAAATTTGATATTCTTGAATTTTGACAACGATTTTGGGCATGAAATTGAGAGCAAATTATATATTTGGGTTCGTGAGATTATGGGTAAACTTTATCGTTGAAAAATTTCAGAATCCGGGCACGTGGGCCCGAGGGCAATTTTGTCAACTTTTCGATCAGGGTTAGGAATTGTTATAAATTGGATTGTAATGAGTAATTGAACATATATTAATGGATTTGCATAATTAATGGCTAGTTTTGGAGCATTGTGCATCGGTTCGAGTCTTCGGAAGGGCGTGGAATGCCGGTTATGGATCTTCGGAGCGAGGTGAGTCTCCTTTCTAACCTTGTAAGAGGGAATTGTCCCCATAGGTGAATTAATTGGATATGTGCTGCTATTTGCGGGGGCTACGTATGCACGAGGTGATGAGAGTCCGTGCATAGCTACTATTATGCTTATGTTCGGGTAGTCTAGGACCCAAAAGCATGCTTTACTTGTAATACTTGTAACCTTATTGTTAGTTTAAATTGCTTAAATCATATCGAAGTGGCAAATGACTTTCTAAAAGAGTTAAACTTCATTTTCTTGACTTGTAAAAGAGAAATTTACACCTCCTTGAATAATAGTCTTGATTGACTGTTAAAATGTGTGTTTCTGTGTGTACCTGCATCGCATGTATGATTTGCGAGCAGGGTGATTGTTTATTTATATTTGACCGCATCGCATGTATGATTCGCGAGCGGGGTAATAGATGCATCTATGGTTCGCGCCATTCGACCCTCTGGCAGTGCATAATTTAGATATTGTTGGATCGGGTCGTACGACCTCGACATTATTTGCGCATGCTTGTAATGTTGCCTTGAGATTTATAAATGTTGATATTCATTCTCCCTGGCCTGAGATAAATGTATAAATGATGAAAAGGAATCTGGAAATTTCCTATGAAAGAAAGAAATTATTTATTTGCGTCATTCTATTGAGTTGCAACCATGTTTATAAGATCTTTGATTTATTATATTATTGGCGTATTATTATTGGACCACTAGTAAGTGTCTAAGTCGACCTCTCGTCCCTACTTCTTCGAGATTAGACGGGATACTTACTGATTATATGTTGTTTTCGTACTCATGCTACACTTGCTGTGCATTTTGTTGCACAGGCACATGTATCTCTAGTGGCCTAGTGGGCATAGCAGCATGGATGATACGGAGACTAGGTGAGCTGCATTCCTCGAGGCGACCCGCAGCCAGTATAGTCTCTTTCAGTGTATTGTAATTACTTTCTGTCCAATTTGTATTCCAGACAGTTATTGTACTTTATTTGGTTTCTTAGTGATTGCTCATGCACTTGTGACACCGGATTCTGGGATGATTATGGGATTATTTAATATTAAGTTTGTTAAGTACATCAATATCTATTCAGTGAAATTCATTACCCATTGTTTAATGTATAAAGGAAACAATTTCAAAAATATTAAATCAAGAAATTACTAGTAAATTGGTGTTGGCTTGCCTGACAATGGTGTTCGGCGCCATCACGACCCTTAGTGGATTTTGGGTCGTGACACCTCGAAACTCAAGAATACAAGCTCTCAACATATCCTCCAAAATTTGTATAGTACGTTCTGACTGCCCGTCTGTCTGTGGATGAAATGCAGTACTAAGATCTACCCGTGTACCCAATGCTTTTTTAAAAGATTTCCAAAAGCGTGAGGTAAATTGTGATGCTCTATCAGAGATGATGAATATTGGAACTCCGTGATGTCAGACAATTTGGTTCATAAATATCTGTGCACATATCTTACTCCACTATATGTAGTCTTCACTGGCAAAAAGTGTGCTGATTTTGTCAATCGATCTACAGTTACCCATACCGATTCATAACCTCTAAGGGTTCGTGGTAGACCGATGACAAAATCCATAGTAATTCCTTCCCATTTCCACTCTGGAATCTCAATTTGTTGTAGTAGTCCTGCGGGTCGCTGATTCTCAGCCTTGACCCGCTGACAAGTCAAACAACTAGAAACAAAGTTAGCAATATCTTTCTTCATACCTTCCCACCAATAAAATTGCTTTAGGTCATGGTACATTTTTGTGGATCCAGAATGTATAGTGTATTTAGAGTTGTGGGCTTCTTCAAGAATAGCTTGTCTTAACCCATCTACGTCTGCTACATATAGCCTGTCGCCCATTCGAAGAACGCCATCACTTTCAACAATCATATCCTTTCTTTTACCAGCTAAGGCCTCATATCTATATTTGCATAATCATTCATCCTCATATTGGGTGGCCTTAATGCGCTCAACTAATGAAGGCTTAGCTTGAGCACAAGCCAATAATGCCTCTGAATTTCCGACACCAAATCTGATACCTATATCTTCTAGTCTCTGAATATCTTTGGCCAAAAGTCTCTTTACAGGAGCTATATGTGCCAAACTCCCCATAGATTTTCTACTCAATGCATCAGCCACCACATTGGCTTTTCTAGGATGATACAAAATAGAACAATCATAGTCTTTGAGTAGTTCCATCCACCGGCGCTGCCGAAGATTCAGATCTCTTTGCTGAAAGATATACTTCAGACTTTTATGGTCAATATAAATCTCACAAGTTTCGCTGTATAGATTGTGCCTCCAAATTTTTAGAGCAAATACCACTACAACCATCTCCAAATCATGTGCAGGATAGTTTTGCTCGTGCTTTTTCAATTGTCTCGAAGCATAAGCAATAAAGTGACCATTTTGCATGAGTCCTAATCAAACCCTCGAGGTGTCAACGAATACTGTAAATCCTCCAGTACCTGATGGTAAGGCTAATATTGGTGCAGTTGTCAAATATGTTTTGAGTTTTTGAAAACTCTACTCACATTCCTCCATCCACTGAAGCAGTACTTTTTTCTATGTTAGCTTGGTCAGCGACTCTGCTATTCTGGAGAAATCCTACACAAAACGCCTGTAATAGCCTGCCAAACCTAAAAAGCTACGAATCTCTGTAGGAGAAGTAGGTCTGGGCCATTTTTGCACAGCTTCGATCTTCTTAGGATCTACCATAATTCCACCTTTGGGTACAACATGCCCCAAAAATGATACCGAGTCTAGCAAAAATTTACACTTTGAGAACTTAGCATAAAGCCGATGTTCTCGCAATGTCTGCAACATAGTCCTGAGATGATTCTCGTGTTCTCCTTGGCTGCGAGAATATATCAGGATATAATCAATAAATACTATTACAAATCTATCCAGAAACAGCTTGAACACCCTATTCATTAAATCCATGAATGCAGCTGGAGCATTAGTCAGTCCGAAAGACATCACAAGAAACTCATAGTGCCTGTATCGAGTTCTGAAAGCAGTCTTAGAAATATCTTCATCTTTGATTCTATGTTGATGATAACCAGAACGGAGGTCAATCTTTGAAAAGTGGGCAGCTCCTTGTAACTGATCAAACATGTCATCTATATGAGGAAAATGATATTCATTGCGTATTGTTAGCTTGTTCAACTGCCTGTAGTC